AAACTTCTATTTATTTATTTGGTACAGGGTCTCACTACACAGCTCAGACTCATAATGATCCTCCTGCCTCAGCCTCCCCAGCGCTGAGATTACAGGCGTGTGCCACCAGTGGTTCCAGGGATCAAACCTGGGTCTTTGCGCTTGCCAGAGAAGTGGTTAGACCACCGAGCTATCGATCTCCCAGGCCCCTTGACTGTTTTTGATGGGATAGTTTCGCTGATTATAGAATTAGGAATTCACTTTTTTTTTTCTTTTAACTTTTAGTAGTGTCCCGTTTTTTCTTGGCTTACTTAGGTTCTAATGGAATATTTATATGGACAGTTTTATCTTTGTTTTTCTGCATGCAGTATATTTGTTTGCTTTGTCTTTTAAAGTTTTCTGTTTCTGATCTGTACTCTTTTTATGATCACAAACTCCTATGGTTTTCTTTCTGTTTATCCTGTTTATGGCTTAATGGAACTCCTTGGAATTGTGAATTTCTGACTTTCATTCAGTTTGGAGACCTTCCAGCAGCACTGCCCCAGTTACCTCCGTGCTCCTGTTCCCCCTTACCTCTTTCTATCATGCCAGTCATATGTATTTTAACTACTTGATTATAAGTACTTGCTGAGGCTCTGTTTATCTCTTCAGTTCATTCTGTTCATTTTCCCCTTTGCGCTTCCTTTTGAATAGCTCCCATTGTTATTATTTAATTTCATTGATTATTTTTGTTTTCAGTGTTTAATCTGCTGTTAAGATGATCCACTGGAAATTTCACTTCAATTTTGTATTCTTATTTTGATATTCCAATTAGGTGTTTCTTACATCTTCTATTTCTGCCTTCATTTAAGTTCTGTGCTATCTTAATTAATTTTAAATAGACAAAACCTGTTATACTTACCTTGTAGGGTGTGATGTTTTCCAATGTATCCACTGTGGAATGACTCAGTAGAACTGATTAACGTATGAATTACCTCCCATATTTATCATATTTTCTGGTATCTATTCACTGAGCAATTTTCAAGAGCCTAAAGCATATTATTAACC